AAGTATTTGGATTTTAAAATTGCCAAGACTCCAATTGACTTGAGTTATGCACTTCAAAAGAATGAAGGTAAAAGTGACTCACAACTGGATTATGCAATGTGCTCTTAGCAAACTGAGTCGGTTTACAAGTAATCCCAATCAAATACATTGGATGGCAATAAAACAAGTTTTTAGGTATCTAAAACATACCCAAAATTACACTTTGCATTATAACAAATATCCCTCCGTGATCGAGGGATATAGTGATGCAAATTGGATCACCGGATCATTTGAAGTTAAATCCACGAGTGGATATGTTTTCACAATTGGGGGTGGAGCAGTGTCTTGAAAATCATCCAAACAAACGTACATCGCCCGTCTACAATGGAATCTGAATTCATAGCTTTAGATAAGGCCGGTGAAGAAGCTGAATGGCTTCGAAATTTCTTGGAAGATATTTCATTTTGGCCCAAACCTTTAGCACCTATATGTATACATTGTGATAGTCAAGCGGCAATAGGCAGGGCATGGAGCGTTATGTATAATGAAAAATATCATCATATACGACGGAGACACAATACCGTTAGACAACTACTCTCTAGTGGTGTTATCACGATTGACTACGTAAAGTCAAGAGATAACATGTCGGATCTACTTACAGAAGGCCTATCTAGAGAGGCAGTTGAAAGAACATCGAAGGGAATGGGGTTAAGGCCTAGGACAAGTCATCATGGAGGTAACTCTACCTAGCAGACTGGAGATCCCAAGAGTTAGGTTCAAAGAGATCAAACAAAGTTATGAATGACGGTTCAACATTGTCAAATAACTCAACCTATTCTCGTGATGAAGACAGTGTTCAGAAATCAAGGTAAAGCATTAAGGCTTTTTGATGAGTCAATAAAGCTTAAAGCTTTTTAATAATTTACTAAGTCTGGCAGAATATGACCAGATAGTGTGTCTATAGGATCACACGTTTAGAAATTACCTCTGTGAGTGTGAAGTGTAAGCCGTTTCAAGGGGAATGAAAGTAAAGGTCCATTCTCTAAGCACTCATGAAATCAGGCGGTGTTCATGGATACAACGAACAAAACCGTGAGAACCATAGATGGTTAAGGGTTAATTGTGTGACTTATGTTGTCTAGGTATACAACAAAGCTCGTCAGTTCAAAGATATCAAATCTATCGATTGACCGAGTATATCCAATATAAGTTCACTACCGAAAGTTCAAAAGGAAACCTACTTATCCAGATGTAATTAATCCTTGCATGTAAATCACACACTCGTCCATGCATTCCTTTGTCTTATAGTCATTCCCCATTCATGTGGGGGATTGTTGGGATTAAAGATTGGTGAATGAAAAATTGAGGGAAGAAAATGGAGGGAAAGTAAGCTCTATTTGCTTTAGAAAGTGCAAAGTGTCCCTCATTGGTGGTGGAAAGAAAAATGAATGTGCTTATATTAAGAAATCACTTCTCTTGGTGTTAAGTGAGTTGGAAAGAAAGTAAGCCTCGCGTCGTCGGCGTCGTCGTCGCTCGCTCAGCTTCGGCTTCAAATTTGGTCAAAGATCGATTGATTGATTATTCTTATTGGACAAAATTTCTTTCAATTATTTAATTAATTAATGAAAATTCAACCTGGAATAACCCAGGACCCGCGATGCGACCCGATCCGGTCTGTTTTCTTTCCCGGGTTATTTTAAAGTTGTTTTCCTGTAATATTTCAAACAGAAATATTCCCACCTGTTCCAACAACCATGGCTATTTCTGAAAGGTTGCAAACCTTTTCAGAAATAGTGTCGGAAAGTCTATAAATATACTTTGAATCCTAGAATCTTTCTTTACGAAATTTTCTGATTTTCTTCTTCTTCTTCTGCACAAAATTTTTCAGTGTATTTTACAACCATTGACTGGTTCGAAGTTTATCAGAGTTTTTTGGTACCAATACACTAATGAGTAAAAATCGTTCTATCCTGGGAGGATAATATTCAAGCACCTCGGGTACTTGAAGGGAATAATTTCTTTAAGAATAACTGTATATTCAGTGAGCTCGATTTATTCTAAAATTATTTTCAGACATTATTTCGACATTCTATTGCCACTAACTTTCTGATTTTGTTTATATTTCAAAAAGTTTAATATTTTTTATTAACAAATACATCTCATGAGGTATCAAAAGCTAGCCTTGGTCAAAAAGCAGGTCACTGGCTTTTGGAAATTAGGGCCCCAACTTTTTCTCCTTTTTATTAAAAATAATATCCCGAGAAAAGAAAAAGTTAAAGAGATCATATCACGCAACAAAAATTCTTCTTTTCAATTAGAAAAAGTTATTCTGCCATATTATGGGAGTGGAGTAGGATTGTGCATGGATCGGATCAGATCGGATTTAATTTAGTATATTTTGGATTGGATTTTCGGATTTTGAATTCTAAAAAATGCAATCCGAATCTGATCCGAAATTCGAAATTTTAATAAACACAATTCGAAATCCAATCCAATCCGAAATCCGAAGTTGAATAGATCGGTTCGAATTTCGGATATCCGATCCAAATGAACAGCCCTAAAGTGTAGTCTTGGTCCTCCTACCTTTTTCTCTCGTTTTGTGAAAACTAGTGCTATACAGAGTATCTTTTGGATGAAGCTCGGGTTGGCTCCGATTTATAAACAAGATATTTCGGTCCATTTGTCTGGACACGAAATTTAAGAAAAGAGAGAAGACGTTTAAATTTGTGGTATAAAATGAGGTACATATATTTTGTGTGGATATAAATCATTGAATAAAGGTAAATTATTTCCAAATAAGTAAATGAGTAATTGTTTTTTATATGAATTAAGAAGGAAATAAGTTCATATAAATTAAAATAGAGAGTATGAATTATCTGTCCCTTTAATATGAGTTTAATCCGCTAGAGAATCTTCCTTTAAGAAATCTCATGACTCATAGGTAACGCTCTCTTTAGGGAGTAAACAAATATTGTTTTGGGTGTGGATGATTAGGTAAACCCCAATTAGTATATCAATAGCCATTATTTAAGTATGATGAAAGAGGAGACGTCACTTATTATCTCCGTAATATCAGTGAACACTACAAATTATACTCCTTCTGTTTCAATTGATGTGAACGTGTTTGACTGGACACAAAGTTTTAAAAAAATGAAGATTTTTGAAATTTATGGTCCTAAACAAGTCAAAAAGGAGCCTAGAGTATTTGTGTGGTTATAAAAGCTTCTCATTACGGATAGAATTATAAGTTTAAGCTAAATTATTTTCAAATTTAGAAAAGGGTCATTCTTTTTGGAACGGACCAAAAAGGAAATAGGTTTACATAAATTGGAACGGAGGGAGTACTACTTTTAAACTTTTAGGGCTCATTTAGTAGGAGGGATAAAGAATAATTAATCTCGGGATTAAATTTAAGAAGAGTTTATCTCATGTTTGGTTGGTAGAAAAATGCAGTATAATTAATCATGAGATTAGTTATCTCAGGATTGTAGTATTTTTTTATCCCCATGGGAGAGTAAAAATAACTAATCTCGAGATAACTAATCTCAGAATAATTAGTCTTGAGATAACTTCTTTCCAACCAAATGACCCCTTAACATACTGGTAGTAAGTATCATATTATATGGTGTTGTCCATGAGACACATAATAATATGCATTATTTGTTATAAAGCATATCAAACCTTCAAAACATTAGGGAATGATGTAGGTAAGTTATCAGATTTATTTGAACTCAGTACTTTTGACGCGAAATATAAATTTATATATAAAAAATTCACTAAAATTGTAATAAAATAGTAGCTACAAACCCATATAACTTAAAAATATAATAAGTTCAGTGTTAAAATATTTAAAAGATTAAACCCACAGAATTTAAATTCTGGATCCATCTCTACAAAACAATAACATAGTATAGTTCCTTCACATATATCACCATCAATAAGTGAAAACATATAGGAGGGGACATGATAATTTACTTACTATACGTTAGTATAAACGAGAATGAAAATTAACATTTGTAAACCATATCTCATTGACAAATAAAGCTTTATTTAAAATTTAAATAAACTTTGAATCGCCTCATATTTTAACTTGTAACGTCCCTCTATACATATATCGTCCGTCTTTCCAAGATTGCCCCTAGACGGAAAGAAGACTCATGCTTGACATATTGGAGAGCGCTGGATAGACGATACACCGTTCTTCAGAAACAGAATATTTGGCAACCTTTAGAAAAAGAAAAAAAAAATGGTAATAATTGTAAAGTAAATTTGGTGAGAAAACAATTTATACAAGTCATGAGAGGAACGGTATAGATCCTATGTAATTTCTACTTTCGACATTGATAATGCAGTATTCACTTTAAAGTAACCTTGACAAGGACCAAAGTTATTAATGGAGATAGTGAGAGAACTTGAGTGAGCACAAAAATAGAGATAGACAAGACTTATTAATCAAAGAATATAGTTTGGAAGATAATTGTTCGAACTTATGCTGAAAATAGACTTAGGAGATACTCCTTCCGTTTCAACTTATATTGAGGTATTTTCTTTTTTAATCAGTTTTAAATTAGATGATATATTTTAAAATTTGAAAATAATTTAACTTTAAATTTTTCATTTTATTATTAATGAAAATTTTTTATAATCATACAAATGTCATGACCTCACAAAATTTTTGCCCCTTAATTTTTAATACCACAAGTTTTAATTTTTTTTTTTTTTCTTAAACTCTGATGCGGAGTCGACCCACCTGCGAAAGGGTATGTATCTCGAGAAACGCCATGCATGCTAGAAATTCCTCAAGAATGGGAATTTAATTCTTGAGTGGGCCCGGTGCCACATTAACTCAAAAAATCTGCCTAGAAACAGAGCAAGAAAAATCTCCCCAGCGAAAAGCTGTCCTTATTAATAGCCTAGACATCTCTTCATTTATTTGCATTCACGACGCAAGAGAGTAGCAAAGACTAATGAAATTACGAAAAAAAATAGTAGTCCACTGTTAATACTGTTATAGCTAGATCATGGCCGAAGTAGTCCTCTATGTTTATGACATGAACAAAAGTGGTGGGCACGACGCTCACAACTTAGCCGTAGCCCAAATGAACAATCTCCTCAAAGATGGCATCAATTTCGGTGGCCTCTTCCACACCGCCGTCCAAATTTACGGCAACGACGAATGGGCTTACGGCCACACCAACAAAGGCAGCGGCGTTTTCAGTTGCCCCGTTGGTAAAAACCCTAGCTACACCATTCGCGAGAAAATTATACTTGGCAGAACAGAGTATTCCTCTTCAAAAGTCAACAAAATTTTAAAGGAGCTCAGCGACTCGTGGCCTGGCAACAAGTACAACTTCGTGTCGAGAAACTCGAAGCATTTCAGCAACGAGTTGTTAGAAAGACTTGGGGTACCTAAGCTCCCCGGTTGGACGAAGCATTAAAACTTGTATGGAATCCTATTGATTTCGCTTTCGGGAGTGGCACTTAGAATAAATCCAGTAGTACTAAATCAGTAAAAGCTACCCCTTGTGAATTTAATATGATCAACATCAACTATTTCACTGAAAACTTCACAGTTTCAGCTCCTGTTATACATAATGAAGATGATGATGAGCATGTCAAGTTGTCAACCACCAGCTTCCTGTTATCAAAGCCATTGAAGAGCCGCCTGCTATCCAAATAGTTGAAGAGCCAGCTGAAGAGGATGAGCATGTCAACCACAAACATGATGACAAGTCCCATGTTATAGAAAGCAATGACGAGGGTATTACTGTTGTCCACAAAGATGAGGAGCTGAGTACTGTTATTCACAACGACGACAAGCGCGTGCCCATGCATGCCTGAGTTTGCAACAGGAAACAGAATTTCCTTGTTGGGAGATAATTAAATAGTAACTGTTTGAGTGGCCTTTGATTGTAATTTACTCCTAGCTCTGTTCTTTTTTCTCTTTTTGTTTTGATCTGTTTCTGCGTGTGTTCGTTTTTGTTTTGCTCTACGTAAATAATGTTTGCGTAATTGTGTCAAGATTTAGTTTTGAGAAGAATCTTTCTTTGTTTCTACTCTGTTTTGTTTTTGCTTTCATTTTGGTTGGAATACTATTTCTCTCGTCACTTTGAATTATGTATTGTGATCATTAGGACTAAATGATGACAATATCAAATAGAAAAATCGAATATAGGGAGAGACTCTGACCGCTCTCTACAACTAAGACTAATCCTTTACACGCTCTTGAGGATAGGAGATTAGTCACCACAAGCACTTATAACACTACTGACTACCTCCTGATAGACGCCCCATCAGAGTCACCATCAGTAAATCATTGCTCTATCTCAAGAAGACAAAGCAAGACTGTACCATTCATAACACGCTCCTCCGTCATTGTCAAACTATTCGCTAGACGGATTCCACACCTGATACTCAAAGCCAAACTAAATGAGCCATGGAAACTGGAGGAAAACCTCATCCTAATCGACTTGGGATGGGACTTTTTCACAGTTAAATTCAACCTAGAAGAAAGCATGACCAGGGCTTTCATGGTGGCCCCTGGTTAATCTATGGCAATTCCTCTTAGTGCGTAGATAGAAACCAAACTTCGTCCCAAGCGTATCCTCCTAACCTCCACCGCTATTTGGATACGACTTTCCCAATCACCAACAGAATTTTATGACCGCGTGATCCTAAAGAAAATAGGGGCAAGGGCAGGTCGACTCCTCAAGGTGGATTCCTGCACGTCTTCGACCCTGAGAGGCGGATACGCCAGATTATGCATCCAAGTACCGCTAGAATCACCAGTTATTAACTCAATCACTATTAGATCCCATATACAACCAATCATTTATGAAGGCGAATGCATCATGTGCACAGGCTGTGGGAGAATTGGTCATACTACGAGTGGATGCAATTACCAAATAATACCACCCGTCAAACAATCAGAGGAATCCCCATCTCTTCAATCGACAACCAATGATGAAGATGACTGACAAACGATAAGTTTTCCCAAAAATAGAAAAGGCAACAACGAAACACCACCACACTCCAGGAACCTAGGAAAGAAGCGAAAGGCATCCAGATAAAGATGTTTGATGCCGCCTCAGATAAATTCCTCAATACCCAAACCTTTCAATACTAGGGTAAGTTCACGTCTTTTACAGGAAATGGAAAGAAGAATCAATCGGGTAAGAAAGGAAATGGCATTTCCCTCCACCCCACCCCTAAGAATTCTAATGATCCCCTGACACCGCCCCAATTAAAAAAGCTTAAAAAATAATAAGATACCCCTTTACATCCTATAGAAATAGATGCCCACCCCTGAAGAGAATTCAAAATTACTCAAATCCAAAACTTGACTGTGGAGCCCACTAAAGACAGATGGCCCAAAAATGGGACCCCAGAAACCACACATGCTGGCACGCCATCACACACGAGCATTGGACCTCCTCACCCCATTCCCCTCCCAGTTCTCTCACCCTTCCCATCTGTATCTACCAACTCTGACTCTGGGATTCCCCCCAAATTCTTGCCAAATCGGATACCTACAACAGGTAATCATCACAGCATTACAAATGAAGTGACACCTACCGTCTCTTCAAGTAGATTCATGCCTCAGAGTAACTCTTCCATTGCCAATGTGTTCAAGGCTACCGACCCTTTTATTACCACTTTGGGTAATAACTTACCCACCATAACCATCCCTACTTCCGATAACAATAATGACATCCCCCTCTTCCAAACAGAAAATGGAGGAGTAGCCAATACCTCCATTGACACCAGTATCAGCACCTCTACCACCAAACCACACCCCAGGTTTGTGGTTGGAGATGGCTATGCAGGGACAAAGCCAAATCTTCAACCTGAAGATCGGCTCCATCCTAGTAGCAGTCTATGTGCAGGACCCACTCTTTCTAGATCAGTCTAGAACGGCAGGCCTGAATCACGACTATGGCTAACAACCCTTCTACAAGCCCAGTACTCGGCTAGGACAAGGAACCTTTCAACGGATGAGTTCAACATGCTAATGAGATAAGTGTGCCAGACCATGTCATTCTTCCCTAAAATCTTTGCAAAGAGACCACCGGAAACCCCTTCCTTCCTTCTTTGGCCCCTAACATCGATCCCAGAAATGGAGCCGGTGATGTCTCTATCAGTGGAACCAATCCTAACGCCACCGAAGGAGACCACAAACTCAGTGCTCAACCAGACCGTAGACTTCTTGAAAGAGTTAAAACTGGACCTGAAAGAGACACTAGCAAGCCTAGGGGTCCCAACAACAACAGTCCTCCTACTAGAAGAGAGCCAAATGATAGAGTTCAAAGAGCGGCTCAACGAAATGCTTATTGCGCTATGCGCAAATAATCTGTCAAATAGTATTCTAGATCTCTAGGTGCGCTCCTCGCAAAACTTATGGTACTCCACAGATCTTCTAAAAAACCTTAGAGAGGGAGGGCCTGAAAGCATTGGACAAGGGGAAAGGGAAGGGTGTCAATCTGCACAATGTCCTCATCAAACTTGAGGATGTCTCCACCACCTTTCAAGGTGTTCATGTCATGGTTAAGGTACATTCCCCTCCCAATTTCTTTCTTTTTAGTGCCATCTATGCTAGAAATACTTTTAGTGATAGAATCAAACTCGGGGACGACTTGATAGACATAGCATCTATTTTCAAGGGCAGCTGGCTGGTAGGGGTGATTTCAATGAGAACCTTAAATTAGAGACAAGTTTGGTGGCAATAACATTAGTACTAATAGAGCCAACTATTTTTGGAGTTTTATTAACAAGTGTAACTTGATAGACTTAGGATTCAAAGGCAGTAAGTATACTTGGAGCAATAAAAGATACTCTCATAGACAAAGCCTCATCCTGGAAAGGTTAGATAGATGCCTAGCCACTAGTGACTAGATTGACTTATACCTTGATGCCAATATCACAACACCCCCCCAGGACTCACTCAGATGATTGCCCACTCTTACTCTCCATCTACAATGAACATACTTACCATGCTAGACCCTTTAGGTTTGAAACAATGTGGTGTGGTCACTCTGACTTATCTAATATCATCCAATAGTGCTTCACTAGCAATGCACACTGCCTCAGGCTACACTAAACGCTCAATACCAAGCCCTCGTGTGGAACAAGGAGGTCTTTGGTAACATCTTTAATAGGAAAAAACACAGCATGGCCAGGCTGGCTGGCATCCAAAAATCTTCCCAATTTCCATTCAGTAGGTTTCGCTAAAATCTTGACAACCAACTCCAAAAGGAGTGCTCTATCATCCTCAAATGTGAGGAGGCCTTATGAAAGCTTAAAACTAGAATTAATTGGTTTTGTGATGGGGATGTTAACACTAGGTTCTTCCACACATCAATCATCAACAAAAGGAGGATAAATAAAAGTCTGTCCCTTAGGGATGAGGTGGGAAACTGGACCCATGACCAAGATAGCATTAAGGATGAGGTCCAATCCTCTTTAAGGGACATTTAAACCACTGACCACACCTACATCACCCTTAGTGACACCCAAAGAACTCATGGTTATAACACAATCTCAAAGGAAGCCTCCCTCTGTAACTCCCCAATTTTTGTAAAATATTATATACATTAATTGACTATTTTTTAATCACGTATATGTTGTTTAAAATATTTTCACCCTTTCTTTAAATTTGAGTTTTCATGTTATTTTGTTAAAAGAATTAATTTTCTTTTATTTAATTCATATATGTGTCACGACCCAAAACCTAACCCGTCGTGATGGCGCCTATCGTGGAACTAGGCAAGTCACAACTAAACAATTTCAACCAAGTAAAATACTCTTTTAGAAATAACAGCGGAATAATTTATATTAAAGAAAATACATTTTAAAATAGAATTTAACCAAAATACGGTACAATCCATCCCAAAATCGGGGTGTCACTGAGTACATGAGCATCTATACCAGGAGCAGTCTATTACAACATCTAAGGAATAAGAACTGAAATGCGAATAAGATAAAGAAGGAGAGCCAAGGCATGCGAAAGCTATGCAGCTACCTCGATAGTCTCTGGAATCAGCTGCTCAAAATAAATCAACACCCGCTATGACCGGGAACGCCTTGATCTGCACACGAAGTGCAGGGTATAGCGTGAGTACAACCAACTCAGTAAGTAACAAAAATAAATAAGGAACTGAGAAGGTAGTGACGAGCTAAACAAATACAATTCATTTTCAATAATTCCAGCAAAGAATAGGCATGCTTTCAAATCCGACAGTTTAAGTCAAATCAGCTTTATACAATTAATGTGCAGGTAATCCGGATATAAAATCTTTCAGAAATTTCACAACAATCACAGATGCCAACTAAGTGCATCAACAAATAGAAAACAAGTACAACCTCTCAGGGAAACAGTCACTCAACTCGTCACAACAGCTCAATCACTCGGCTCTCAACCCTCAATACTCACACTTAATAG